CGTTTCCCGTGTCCCGGGAGGAGGCTCGTTCTGCCGGGTTTGGGTTGGTTATGCGGCAAAGGGTCGGCTTTCCCTCCACAGGTGCCTCTTGTTTGGGAGCTCTGCCTGGACGTGTTGTCTGGCGGCCACACTGAAAATCTCCCTTTATTGAGGATTGCAGGCTCAATTTCTTGTGACTTTATTCTCATTTCTTTTGGACAGTGATTTCTCTGCGACAAATTTTGACGAAGCTGGAAGTGTATCAGTTGTAATTGATAAGTTGCTGATGTTTAAAATGATATCTGATAATACCTGTTATTAGTTCACTCTTACTAAACCTGTATTTGGATGCTACCTCTTCACGTTTGCTTGGACAGACCGATGTCGGTGAGTAGAATGTTCACGGATTGAGTAAGGGGTTTCTCCGTCTTGTATGGAGAGGTTGTGAGTGTGCCTGCTCTGTACGGTGGCAACTGAAAGACCTTGGTTTTGAGATGGGACGCAGGATGGCAGAGCCAGTGTAGTGCCACATCTGGTGTTGGCATCTGTGCTTCCCTCATGTGTTGGTTGACCCAGTGTAGGTGTTGTGAGGATGCAGCTATCTTGCTTCTGGAGATAGGTAGGATTAATCCGAGGTTATCTGATCCTGTGCCACTACCTACTGCTTTCAAATCTTCCTGTACAGCAAAATCCAGACTTCTGGAGTAAACAACTGGGAACAAAGACAAAAGCACAAGTATGGTTTCTCAGACACTGGTAATACTCTTCTACCTTCTAGGGAAGAGACAAAGAGGAGCTCCTCATTTGTGCAATTTAAAGGCTACCTGGGAAATGGCGATAACAGAGAGGGGCAAGATCTGTGCTTACTGGTTATGCTGTCTGTATTGACCCTGTGATATTCCCTTTATCTATCACCTGCTAGGACTGGGAAGCAAAATGGGAACACTGTTGGATTTTTGGAAAGAAGCACTAATAATTAGAATTGTTTCTTATGTGCAATTAATATATTTTATTTTTAAAAGGATATAAGGTAGAATTTGTGAAAAAAATGTAAATTCTTACAAATAAATACAAAACCAGGCAGAGCTAGTCTTGTATAAACAGTGAAAACCAAGGGTAAAACTAGATTGTACACAGAGCAGCCAGTGCAGTCATTTCCCTTCCACTCTTGTACTGCTCCTTCATCCTGTACTTTCGCTTTTCAGCTGTCGTACTCATTTGTTACACCCTATTTTAAATTAGTGTTTGGCATTGCAATTGAATGATTCAGGTACCGTATGCTCATCAAAGTCAAGAAAGCTTCTGGTGACTGGAGAGTTTTTCCCTTATGCACAGATCTAGGTAGTGGTTTTCTAGGAAGGAAACTGACATAATATAGCTGAAGCTGCTTCCTCAAAGCTTCTGGGTTGTGGGATGCTGGAGAGCAGACGAAACTTCTTTCCTGAGTGCTGCTGCAGCAGGACAATTGCTTAATGCTTAGACGTTTCAACCTTAGGCATTATAAAATAGGGAGTATCAACTGTCTTTTTCTTTTGAGAAACAGCCAGTGATTGTCCACAGTGCCCGATGTGATGGTACAGCAGCCAAGCACATTTAGATAAGGAATGAAGCCCTTTTCAGTGATGTCCAATGATAGGACAAGGAGCAGTGGATACAAGCTGGAACGTAGAAGGTTCCACAAAAATATTAGAAAAAACTTTTTCACTATAAGGGTGACAGAGTACTGGCACAGGCTGCCCAGGGAGATTGTGGAGTCTCCTCTGGAAACATTCAAAACCCACCTGCGTCCCTGTGTGACCTAGTGTAGGTGATCCTGCTCTGGCAGGGGGCTTGGACTAGATGATCTTTTGAGGTCCCTTCCAACCCCGAACATTCTGTGATTCTGTAATTACTTGTGGTTCTTCAGTACTTGCAAGAAAGAGTAAGCTGCCTTATCCTATTGTGTATATATACATATATACACATCTCATATTTTATGACATTGCTTGTTTCTCTGTGCTCTGTTACATTTTCAGGCTAAGAATTAATAATGTATTGGTATCATGTCACTACCACAGTTCTGGATGTGTATAGTACTGCCTTGCCACCCAAAATGATGAAGTATTAGTGTTCTGGTGGGGTCAGCAGCCTGCCCTGGGGGCCCACTCACTGCTGCCCTGTTGTGACACCTGCTGCTGCCCGCTTGCCTCGCTGCTCCAACAGCTGGGAGAAGCCGTCCTCTCCCCCTCTCTGCTAAAGCAGCCATGCAGCTGTTGAGTACTTGGACTAAGTCCCAGATTCCCCTTGCAACGTTAATTGTTAAAGCTTTGTTTTTGATGACTTGGAAGGGGGCTAACAGTGCCTGAATTGTAGGGCGTAACTAATTAAGCTTATAGTAGAGAAGTTCCTTTGGAAATTAAAAAAGAGGTGAAAGCGTCAACAAAATAATGTTATAATGGAGGCTGGATCTTGACCATGGGAAATGTATGTCTAGAATACAAAATTTGCAGTTCGTGGTAGAATTAACAAAACTTTAAGATGATTGTATCAGAGATGATGCTGTTGCACAGAAACGCATTGTATCTCTCAGGTTTCTTCTTAGTTTAATGACGGAGAACATAGACATAAATCCCATAAAGTACACATTTCAATGTCAGAGCAAAGCGATTTTTAAGAACTAAAGAAAACAGTGTCCTCCAGAGATTAAGATGTTAGATTATATGAGAAGATTCATATTAAAATTTAGCAAGATTAATGGAAATATATAGACCAGAAAATAAGAAAGGTGAATTAATTCAAATTTGTGATTGGTAGAATCATGTTGATTATGTTTTGATTATGAGTGAGAGCAGCACTGCAGAAAAAGACTTGGGGATGTTGGTGGATGAAAAGCTGAACACGAACCAGCAATATGCACTCGCAGCCCAGAAAGTCAGTCGCATCCTGGCCTGCATGAAGAGACCCCACTTGCAGTACTGTGTTCAGCTCTGGTGCCCCAACATAAGAAGAACATGTTGCTGTTGGAGCAGGTCCAGAGGAGGGCCACGAAGATGATGGGGGGGTTGGAAGTGTCCAAGGCCAGGCTGGATGGGGCTTTGAGCTACTTGGTCTAGTGGGAGGTGTCCCTGGCTGTGGCTGGGGAGTTGGAGCTAGGTGGCGTTTAAAGTCCCTTCCAACCTGAACCACTCTATGATTCTGTTTTAGTATTTATTCATAGGTGTTGTTTCCCTGTATGCTGGGTAATAACTGCATCATATATGTGGTCTATGTAGAAGATGTACCACTTGGAGGTCAAAATCTTGACTCCCAGTAGCTGGAAGAATGGGAAATGATAATCTGCCTTCCCTGTTCAGTGAGGAATGGCTGTATAGTTGCTTCAGACTGCAGTGGAAATCCTAACTTTTTTGAATCATGTTGTAATAGAGGGAATAGTAGGGAGCACAGAGAGCCAAATTCAGTCACAGTGAAGAAAACTAATGTGTTTTTGGTCATTGGAAAGATTAAAAATGGTGTCAGGCACAGACTCCCAATCTGCTTCCATGTTTTGTAATTATGCATCTTTATGCTTCTTAGCATTCAATATTATTTTATGTAATTCATTTGAAGAGGTTGGGTTATGTATTAATTAAAGAAACTAATGTCCAGAATGTACAGGCTTTCAAAAAAAAAAACCTGTAAGAGGCAGTTGAAAATGTGAAAATGTGGAACTAGGAAACTAGAGAAAGTTTGAAAAGCAGAATAAGAATGTTAAATGGTTTAAGACTCATAATGAATTTGCTGTAAAACAACAAGGATAGTATCTAGAGGAGTGCTCCAGGATAGTGACTGATTTTGGGAGTCTCAGGGGTATGATGAAACAAGTCTTTCACTGCCCACTGCATTTGCCGTAAGATACAACAGAATGGAACACTAGTTGAAACTTTGGGTTGATAGTTCATTTTATATTAGTGTTATCTTTACTTGCCTGTCCTTGGGGGTGATTTGGGGAGGTTTTTCTCAGAGAAAAAAATGGATTGCTTTTTCTTCCTTGTCTCTGTTTATCAATTACTGATACCTGTGCTTCAGTTACTGGTAATAATACCTCTCTGACTTACTAAGAAGTTGCCCTTGTAAGGTCGATAACTTATATAGAGTATTTTCAAAGTTTGTTGGAAAGAAACTGCTCCTTACAGCTTATTATTTGAATTCCTGTTTTGGTTATGATGTTTTATAAGTAAATTTTCTGTAGTATTGGAGAGTACAACATTTGGCCCAGAAAGCACTGTGGTACCGAGTGTGGTGTATTTTAGCTCCCTCTGAAAAACTGAAGGTTCTCCATGTCAGATGCTTTCTGCTTTTCTTCAGTGTTTTCCTACAGAACTGAGAAATAGTGAGGGAAATGCAGTGTTGGTGAGCCTTATTTTCAACTATTTCAGCACTGTCTAGGTTTTTATTATGATAACCTTTTTAACTACATTGCAGTAGTATCACCATTGATGAATTAATAGTTTGTGATTTAAAACTAGCATTATATTCTATGCCTTCCATATATATTGTGTGGTGTTCTTCCTGTGCACTACTTTGCAGAGGCATGCAAGCTTCAAAGAATAAAAACACAGGAAAGACAGAACCATTCTACAGGCTTTCAGTGCCAAGGTGGAAGACCAGTTCTGAGATTATAAATGAAGCCAGAAGTGTTTTACGAACACTAAGAACTCGGAGACCATTTACACCTACAGAGAATCAGAGGAAACTTTTTGGATCTGGATCCTCACGAGCTCCTCAGAATAGACCCCCTTCAGTTTTTAGGTACTTTGGCTTTAAGATTTTTTTTTCAGATATCCTTTAGAAGCAAGAGATTTGATTCTGTAATTATGTTTCTGGTGATATTTTTCCTGTATTAATTTGTATTCCTAATCACATCCTTTGCCTTCTTCTAATGATGCTTACTGTTGGTGTTAATCTACATGTCCTATGTGTTAGGGCTACCAGAGGCAGTCATTAACACTAATTTTCTATATGGAGAATAGTATAGGAAAATGGTCTGTAACTCTCCTTTTTCTTAAGACAATGTATGCTTTTAATTGAGATAGTCTTCATCTCGTCACAGAATCACAGAATTTTCCGTAGAGACTGTGAAAGCTTGCTTGTTTCCATGTAAACTGTATGTTAGATCTTTTTTTCAAAGCTTTCTCGGATCTTTTTAAATATAAAATTGTAGATCTTGAAGTTCAAATGCTCATTTTTAATAAAAATTTTTACTACTTCAGAATTATTTGTGTGTGGAGTTTTATTATTTACTGTAATTCACAGAGCTCTATAGGTCTGTCACGTGTGACAAAAGAGGCAAAAAATTGTATATTGGGCTTTTTTTCATCCATTTTTGCAGTCACTTTTTAGCTGCCCATATGCACCAATTCTGTAATGACTGTAAGGAGGAGATATGAGCTGTATTTATAACGTTAGGTGTCAGGCATGCCAGGAAGGATGCTGAAACATGTTTGAGGGGCCGTACAAGTAAGTCAGTGTCCATGCTGTTATCATGGCAGCATGACTTCAGGTACTCAACGTATCTGACATTCCTTACTGCATAGTAGGCCGTGCCTTTCAGAAGGTGAGAGCTTGAGCATGGCTTGGCTGTTGGTGACCAGGTAACGAGGTCCCTCTGGCTGACATCCATGCTTGTTCTGTCTGTGCTTGTCCTGTGTATAGGAAGGAGCATGCTCATGCCTGCACAAACCTGCTTCTTCTGCCCTGTAGTGTTCTGCAGATTGGGTCAGGTAGTTTGAGCACTAACCATGATTGAGTTTGTGCATGAATTTAGGCTTATATTAGAGAATTGTTACAGACATGTATGAAACTAGCTGTATTGTGGCAAGTGTGCAGGTGATCTGGTAATTCTTCTCCCTCAATGACTACTGGATTCGCAGAGTTAAATAGTGTTCATAGAAGAAGAGTGATAGTGTAAAAGTGCTCTGTTGCTCTTCCTTTCTTTCTCCTTTCTCTATAGTCGTTGGCAAAGGGAATCATGCAATTAAAAGAAAAACAAACCACAGACAAAACCAACAAAACACTGAGTCTACTTTACTCATATTTTGTTTAATTTCTTTATACTAGTCTTCATGCATCCAGTTTTGATTTGGCTGAGTCAAGACCAGCGTCTGGCATTCGTCTTAGTCCACTGGTTCATGTGAGTATCTGAAAATAACTCATGCAACACTGACATAAAAATATGTGTATCAGTAGTGTTAGGAAAAACATGGTTTAAATAGGTTGGGAAGAAATGGAAGCATGTCGTAATGTTAGTCTGAGACTTATGAACTCAATTTTATCAATTTTTTCCCTCAAAGAAATGTGAAAATAATTTAAACTGTTTAAATACTGCTGTATTGCATTGTAATTCTAAGTGACATTAATAAAATCGGAAGATGGATACTTGAGCCAGCTTTCTTGTGTATGGTTACTGAAACAGAAAAAAGTCATGAGCATTGGCATGAGCCAGCAACATGCCCTTGCCACTAAGAAGAGGCTCATAGTATCCTGCGCTGTGTTGGGCGCAGTGTTGCTGGCAGACTGAGAAAAGTGATCCTTTCCCTCTGCTGAGCACTGGTAAGGCCACATCTGGAGTAATGTGTCCAGTTCTGGTCTCCCAGTACAACAGAGATGTGGAGCAACTGGGGAGAGTCCAATGAAAGGCCGCAGATGATGAAGGGACTGGAGCAAGGCTGAGAGAACTGGGACCGTTCAGCCTGGAGAAGAGAAAGCTCGGGGACGATTTTGTCTGTGTATCTAAAAACCCAAAGGGAGGGTGCAAAGAGGATGGGGCCAGGCTCTTTTCAGTGACAGGACCAGAGCCAGTGAGTACAACCGGAGGTTCCCTCTGAACTTCAGGAAACACTTTTTCTGCTGTGAGGGTGATGAAGCCCTGGCACAGGTTGTTCAGAGATCTTATTGGACATCATCCTGGTCAGCTGGCTCTGGGTGGCCCTACTTGAGCAGAGGGGGTTGGGCAAGATGACCTCCAGATGTCCCTTCCAACCTCAACTGTTCTCTGGTTCTGTGATCAATAACTTGAAAGTAACTAGGTTGATTGTGCTTTCTGTTTGACTTACACATCTATACAATGTAATGATTTTAGTTTATTTAAAAAACAGAGATACTTTTAAGAGCTTTCTTTTCTGCTCTGTGAAAATTTGGAATTGTTTTGAATTTATAAGTGTATCAGCTCTTTCAGGTTTTTATATTTAATCCTTAAATATAAGATTAAGTCATGATCATTTATTCAGCACCTGAAAGAACAGAGCATGCTAGAGCAGTTAAGTATGCTTGCTGCATATATTGTTTCTTCAAGACGGTATTCTAAAGAATGCTAAATTTAGGAAGTGAGGAAAGGAGAGGAAACTAAGAAACGTTACACTGCAGTAATTTCAATAAGGTAATGTATTTATGTGAGTCAAATTTCTGACTATACTTATATTTAGATTAAATATATCTACAGTAGGATTTAAATGCTGTTGTTAATTTTTAATATATCTTTTGTGTTAGAGAGGAAAAAAAATAGAGAAAAGTGCTGTTAAGACTGATTCAGAAACTGCCTTTAGTGCTTTGCCAATGGAAACAAGTTAGTCCACTCTAAACATAGATCTTGTATTAGTTGTGGTAGTTGTGGGAAGTGAGTCTCACCGGCTGGCTATCGTAAAGTAATATCAAGCTCAGAACAATGGGAATGGAGACATTCTAATGGATCCTTTACTGTAAGAATTTTAGTAGAGAACCTCAATCTTGGAGGACAATGAGTTTATGTAGGGCACAACAGCTATTTTGTACCAGGGGTTGGTCACATCCTCTAAGATACTGACGTAGATCTAGAACTTGCATGTTTTTGGATCTTCATGGTTTGTCTCAGTGTGATAGGAAGTGGTACATATGTTGTGAACGCATTAGAAATGTTTTGGAAATGCTACTTCAGTGCTCAAAAATAAATCAGACAATAGATGTGCCTTTAGAGTTTGTAGTGCAAGTCTTTGGCACAACTTTTTTTTTTTTTGAGAAATAAGCACACTGCAGATGATTTAAAATGAGTTTTTATGAGGGAAAAAAATAATTCTGCGTTTCAGTTGCTTTACTCAGGTTAGATTTTGTTTTTCTGCACCCCTGAATGTTTTAATGGCTTTCTGTGGTGATAATGGTATAGATATCTGGCTTGTTCAGTGGAACAGTATCATTAGATTTTTGATATGAAAATTAAAATTTCTTAATGAGCAAACTTTTTAACTTTATTCTATTCTGAACTTCACCCTTCCCTTTGCATAAATAATGTGGGTTTTATTTTAAGTTTTGCTTATATGAAAATGAAATTACCTGTGCTTTCATTAAAACATCTTTATCTTTGTCACAGAAACCAATATTAGTTACTTCTGCAAAAGATGAAGATCCTTCAATTTCTCTTCCAAAACATGTTGATGATGCAGAGGTTAGAAGAATCAGCAGTGCTCGGGCACACTTATTCAGAAGAAGTTCTCAGGGAAATTTCCTTTCTGCAAAAATGGTTACTTCTGATCAGAGTAAGAATGTTTTAATACATGTTATTTCCTGGAAAAACAACAGCATGATGAGTTTTAATGTCATTAATTATATGAAATGTTGTATTAAAGGACTTGCATATCCTTTCAGAATAAATTGTAAAAGTATTTAAATGGCTTTAAGGCAGTTTTGAAAATGTGATTTCCAAAGATGATACTGGCTTTCACTCCTGAAAGTAAGTTGAAAGCTACTCAGGTGCCTTTTTTTTCCTGTAGGTTTCTGAGTAATTTTTTTTTTTAACTGAAAGTTTTCTTCAGTGGGTAAAATTAACATTAAATGCTGAAATGTTTGAAGAGATAATGAGATGGCATCATCTAAGGAGATCCCTTTATGGATTACTGAGTATTAAAGGAGGAGTAAAAAGCAAAGATATGCCTTGACTGGTCTCCAACTACATTCTATTTGTTGTAGAGTTTCATTAGCAGAAACTTAATAAAGGTCGCTAAATATAAGATTTGAAAGTAATTTTCTTGCAGATGGAAAATTACTTGATATCTTGATTTCCTGCAGATTGACTCTTAATAAAATGTTCTGGAACTCAATCTCAGTGACAGCTTTTATATTGCCTGGAATTGTAACTTTATGTGATAAACTGAATATCTCACTTTTTTACCTCATTACAAAATAAAGCTTATACAAAAAATACTAAAATTTACCTTGGTATTATGTATGTATTATATGAATGGATTTTTATATCATATACCCCTGTATCTAGTTCAATCTGTTAGTTGTAATAGTTGATGTTACTAATTGGAAAAGTTGAGAACCTGATGTAGTTATAGCCTGAGTTTGCCTCTTTTCCCCTTTGGGGATCATGCAGATATTTATCCAGGGTTTTTTTGGTGTAGATTCTTATAATGTGTACATACCAAAGTACAAGATTAACAGCTACCTCTTTCTTGAATTTATTTAAAATGCTCAAAATCTGAAATACAAAAAGAAGTGCTTGTAAGGTGCAATCCACCTATGTGTAAAAGGAAAGTAAAAAAAAAACTAGATGGAAGATTAAAATGTTGAAACACAAACCTGAAAGACTTAAAGAAATTATGTTCGTAAGAGGACTTTGACCACTTTGCTGTAAATAATCTTAAGATTTCTCACCTTTTACATCAGTACAAGCAAATTTACATGTGATATAACAAACATTTTGAGTACAGTTGCATGTATTTATTTTGTAAGAACAATTCTACAAAATGTGTTCTCTTTGGCTATTTCAGATGAAGAGAAGCTTGATGAAGAACCAGCTAAGATGCATAATCTTTGCAGAAATAATAACTGCTTAGGAGAGCAGAGATTGTGCACACCATATAATGATGAAAGTAGACAATTAATTTGTAATGAGCATATCAGTGGATTAGAGGGAGAAGACTTTCGAAAAGAGACAGCAGGAACATTATTTCAAGTGAGAGGAGAAAGGTTGGTATTGCTCAGGTATGGTAATGTGCACTTTTCACACAACCCTCATCCTAGATATTCAGTTGGGCAAGTATCAAAATATTTAAAATTGATGGAATTCGAAGGTAGCACTATTTATGCAATAAAATAAAACTGTGCTTAGATTATTAGAGAAAAAAAAAATCCTTACCCTTCTGTTCTTAGGAAGCTTCTACACTTGTAAAACTAATTTGTTAAAAAATGCCGGTAGGAGGTCACTTGAGATGAAGAAATTTTAATTTTGTTTGAATTTCAAAATTAAGTCTTCTAATAATTACATAGAGAATACTCAAGTTTAAATTCAATGTACTTGCTTCTACAGTTCCAGCCTGTTGTTTTAGGGTGCTATATGTTCTCCCCTTAGCTCCACAGATAAGTAGAAACATGTTTTCAGTTCTGGTATTGGGGAAACACATGATCATACAAAAAAACGGGCTTAAACTAAAAATGAATAAGTTAATTTTCAGAACACATCCTATACATACTTGGTCACTATTAAATATAAATGTTTGCCAGTAGATATCTTCTTTCTAGCGTGTTTTTGTGCTTAGGAAATAATTTCCCTGGATATTCTTCAGCACCTTTGGCATTAAGGAGAATATTCTTAATTTTTAAAAATGAAATGCCTTTCATTTGCTATGTTGATAATAGTACTGAATAGAGAATGTTGTCTGGTGAGGCTGTTACAGCAAATGATACATAACAGAGCTACTTTAGCATTCATCTATTAAACCGAAAGCAGGGTTTTATTTATTTTTTTTTAAAAAAGACAGATTCTCAAAGACTGGAGACTTGTGGGAGTAAAGAAAAAGTTTTGTGAGTATGGAGGGAGGGAAAACAAAAAAATAAGCCCAGCAATGAAAAATGCATTTGAAGGAAAAGGAGAGCACCAAGGAGAATGCTTCAGTGCAACACTGTTTTCTCCTATTAAAATCAGTGTCCAAAATACTTTTTTTGGTAGAGACTGTCTGGATTATCATACTACATAAATTACTGTAATTTGACTTTTATTTAGTAAAGGCATAGTGTGGAGTACTTTAATGTTTCAGTTAAAATGGATAGATAATGGTATCCAAGTGTCTCTAGTAACAAAGGGTCACTTGATACTTCTACTAATTGTAAAGAATGTCTTTCCTTCTGAGTCATAATTTTAAAATTTGCAGATATGTTTGCATGTTTTAACTCATTATACATCCTTGTTATCTGTTCAAATAATATGCTTCTCTTTTATAAACCTGAGATCTCTGCAAGTTTTTAATTTTGGGTTTTTGTTACTAGTACTTTTTGCAATCACCCTTTCATGTGGCATTGTGTACCACAGGCATTTTGTTTTCTGGTAGCCTGAACCACAGAATATCATGATTTACCTTGATTACCTTGATAATTTTTGAGAATGACTGGCTTCTCTACTGAAATATTCTTAGGCACAGGCACAAAAAGTCTGTTACCAAAAAGACTGCATGTTGCTACATGAAGTCTTATAGGACTTTTTCACTTTGGTTGTTCTATGTGAGAGGGATTTTAGAAAATATAAAAAGTTGAAAGGGGAAAATTATATACTTTTGATTTTATATTTTTCAAATATCGCTGTGCATACTTGAAGAATAGGTTGTCAAGGTTCGTTTGTGTAAGCTCTGCTGGCTTAATTTCTTTATGACTTACTTTTCTGCCTCTTAATGGGATAGCTAAAATAGTAACGATTCTAACCATAAAAGATGGAATGTTAATGCCTGTAGCTTGTCATAGCCATGTTTGAACTACAGAAAATAATACTAGAGGTAGTTGAATCTCACCCATCACTTAAATTAGATCTCAAATTACTGACCTTGAGATAACATATATTAAAAAAAATTCCAATCTTGTCCTGGCTAGATTTATCCAAAATAGAAGAGTAACATAATATTCCTCTCTCTTTCTGTGTTGAATGCAAAAGCTGTGTTTCTGAATGGTGCATCTTTATCTTCTTTTGTGGGTTGTGCATCCTTTCTGTGTACTTGAGACAGATTATTTCTGCCGATGTTGCCTGTGCTACTTTGTACCCTTGCACTAAGAATCACTAACAACGTTTAGGTGCTCGTATGGTCTAGAGTTCAGGCATACTGCAGTGCTGCAATGTGCACAGAAGTAGTACAAAATGCTTTCCCTTTAGTAAAGGACAGAGATCCCTCATCTGTAGCAGCCCAAGCAGCTCATGCTGTTGTATGATGGAGTGGCTCTGGGTAATCTCAACTGCTTTCGTACATTCTCATTGCTAAGACTTATGCTAGTAAACACATTTGTTCAGTGTTCGCATATGATACTACACAATTGAGGCAGACGTCGATCTATATCCTTTTCTGAGTTCAGAGACTTTAATTCTTTATCTGACAAGGCAGTTGAAAGGTATCACAAACCTATCCTTCAATATAGTCCCTTGAGTTTGGTCTTGATAAAAGTTCCTGATACAGTTCCAGTACCGTAGAGGGTCATTGCAGTAACAGAGTTTTGGCATTCTGTCTAAATAGAACATGTTTACAGGTACTGGATGATCACTATGATTAGATTGCATCTGCTTCTATGTCATAAAGACTTGGGACAACTTGTATGAAATTAAAAGGTATTTTCTATTTAAAGTACATGGTATTCAGGTGTAATAGGATGAGGGCTTAAAGAAATGTGAAAACTTTTGTTACCTGGAGTCCTGTCATTCACCATATGAAGCACTTGTGTCAGCCTCAATTCTGTATTCTGATTTAAAATCCTTGCAGGAATTAAGCAAGAGGATTATGGAAATAGTACATTTCATACAGGAGAAGGTACATGAGATTCCTTACTCTTCCCACAGCTCCTGTGTATCGTGTACCAAAAAACCTTTTCTAATAAAGCTGGTTAATGATTAAACTGTAGAGCATGCCAAAAGAGCATGGCAGATTCCTGCCATTAATGTCATTACATTTATTTCAGACAACATAAGAGAAATGTTTTATTCTAGCAAGACATTAGCTCACTTTCCATCTCAGATTCTTTTGTTGTCCCAAGGACTGATGAAAAGAATGAAGAGTGCTACTGAAATCACTACTGCTTTATAAAGATACTGGGGGAAAAAAGATAAAAGAACCTTTTGAGAAGAATAGTTACTTGTCATTTTGTTTGCAATTTTTTTTCCAAAACCAGAATAGGCATATTATAACAGAATAGGCATATTAATTGAAGCAGATTGAATTTATTGACACATTGCCTCAGAAAAGCGAGGAGCAATTTCTGACAATCATAAGGAAGCTAAGTTTTGTTTACATCTTCATCCAGCCATTGTGCTTTTCCATCTATTGTGATTGCTATAGAAATGAAACTTCTAAAATGTTTTGTGCATTCATATATTTCAACAGAAGTGTCAACAGTGATGGCAGATTTGCTGATGAAGAGCAACAGTTTCCCTGGTGAGAAAAGATGATTTTTTTTCTCCTCCTCCACTTTCTCAATATTCTGAAAGCTTAGACATTATTCCAGGACTCCCTAGAAACATAGGTGCCTTCAATGAGGAAAGACTATGTGGCAAACAGTGGCCTGCTCTACACCTTTTTTAATAAGTCTTTTCTATAAATAACTGCAAAAGGTTTAGAAGGTGCTGTAAAGAAGATATCCTATGCCCTATTTTCTGTCACCATTTCTGTCCTTATTAAATATCTGCTTGACCGAAATCTTGAGAGGTATTCATCAACTGTTTCTGTAAGAGTAGTTTCTTGTGCTTTTTAGTGCTTTGAAATGCTTCAATAAAAAATTATAAAGCAGGGGACAAGGGAATACTGGAAATTGCTTCTGTCTGACTGCTTAAACTACCTTTACATCTGCACCCAAAATATTCATTCCTCTTCTGCTCAGAGAAAAGGATTCCTACAGAGGAGAGAGGTTTCTTTCCTGAAGGGGACACTCGTTCTGTTTTGCTTTGGATGAATTTTTTAAATGAATGATGTGGTGTGGATATTAGTTTTGTTGTATTGTTTAGCTGATACTGCTGCAGATTCTCCAGACTTCTTTCAGGATTCATCTTTTCTTATTATGTATATTCACAATTTCTGGAGTTCTCGTAAAGACACTGAAACAGGAAATTAATGTGCTTCTAAATAATTTTTGTGTATTTCTGCCTTAGCTCCACCAGCTATTGAGAGATCATTGATGTAAGAAAGAAATAATTAAGTGGTGGGAAAGCTTTCAACAGGTAGAGCTTTATCCAGTGTTTTCTAAGGAAAGTATGACACAGGACTGTCATGGTTTAAGCCCACCCCACTGGCAACTAAACACCATGCGGCTGCTCACTCACTCCTACCCCTGCCTTGGTGTGCTGGGTAGGAGAAAACGTGATGAAAAGCTCAGTGGTCGAGACTAAAACCAGGGAAGGCAAAAACCAGAGTAGACTTGGAGGGAGATAAACATCAGTTTAACATAAACAACCAAACCACCACCGATGTACCATAATACAACCAGGTCTTAAAAACACCTTCTCCCCATCCCTCCCTTCTACCCAGGCTCACGATTTCTCTACCTCCTACTCCCCAGGGGTGTGTAGGGGCAGGGACTGGGGGTTGTGGTCAGTCCATCACACATGGTCTCTGCCGCTCCTTCCTCTTCAGGGAGAGGACTCCTTGCCCTCTTCCCATGCTGCAGTGTGATGTCCCTCTCACAGAAGACGACCCTCCACAAACTTCTTCAGCGTGAGTCTTTCACAAGGGGCTGCAGCTCTCTATGAAACGCTCCAGCGCAGGTCCCTTTGGCGTGCAGTCCTCCCAGCGATGGACTGCCTCAGCAGGGACTTCCCTCAGAGCCATGAACGCTTTCAGGCACAGTCCCCTGTGGGGGACTACACAGGCTGCAGGCAGCTCTAATGTATGTCCCCCCCCTCCTTCCTTGCTCACCTTGGTGTCCAAGTAGTTGTTCCTCTCACATCCCCCTCCTCTCCAAAACAAAAGAAGTTGCGTAGCAGTTTTTTTCGATTTTTAAATATATTTATTGCATAGGTGCTGACTGGCTCGGCCTTGGCCAGAGGCAGATCTGCCTTGGAGCCAGGGGAAGGTTCTAGAAGGTTCTCGCAGGAGCAACCCTCCTACCAAACCCTGCCAGACACAAACCAAACACATTGCCCTTCCAAGAATGTGCCTGGTTTTGTATAGGGTTAGGGGATACTGAGAGAAAATAGGGAGTGAAGAAATCTTTTCCCCGAGCTTTTTATAGACTTCTGAAGAAAAGAGCAACTGGTAGCTGTTATCTCTAGTCTCTTCATTTGTGAAAGAGAAAGTGGAGTTTAGGCTCATTTTTACTGTGTGCTTCAAAGTGAGTCTTTGTACTCTTGTCGTTAGTTTCAGGATAAGGTCATTGGTCTCCAAATCTGAGAGATGTAAGTCTGGACAGTCCTTACTACCGGTTGAATGGTAATTCTAGAATGGGAATGCGTGCCATTCAAAGGGTAAAAAAATGCCAATTCAGTCTGGGTATGACTACAGTAACAATAGATTTAGACTGAACTTTGGTTTAGAATTAGAATGCTTGTGCAAGATTCAAGTTAGGGAAATGAAGATGATGTGGTTTTTGAACTCGTATTTAGGCTAGAATTGCAGGTGTTTTTATGGTTAGAATTAGGCTGTCAGTCATCTGCTTGCTTAAAGACACTCTGCCACAAATAGTTACTGTTAATATTTTCTCTATTAGGCATAAGATACAAACACTGTGAAAAATAAAAAGGCTAAGGATATAGGTTTTTCATCAACCTTTATTATTCTTTTAAGCCATACTCTTTAGCATGTGCATGAAATTCTTCATCAACAGCCTGTACAAATAGAGTACTATATTCTTTTTATCACTGGAACTGTCATAAGTAATGGACTATGCCCATGATTGTGTTTATAGAGGAATTGTTATTTGCTCATCTTTAGGATGACTCAGAGTGTAGTTGGACTATTTGTCAACATATTTTTGCAAATTATGTTGCCTTTCTGCTATTTATCCTTTCTCATATCAATAGTATCAGTTATAGTCTCAGTTATAGTTTTCAATCCCTTTCTTTTTTTTCTCTTCTGGTGATGTTACTTATGATAGAATCCTCTACAATTCAGGACATCTAGATTATCAGTTCTTTCAATTATTTGAATGCTTTTGAAAAGCTTTGTAGCTGACAGGACTGACTAGAGGTTTGTGTAACTCGTTTAATACTTTAATTTATATTTCTTTTAGCTATCTGAAGATAATTTACTGTGTCTCCACTATGTTTTCTAAAAGGAAAATAGTCTTTAAAAATTGAGCTGTTATACTAATTCTTTTTCCTTTGAGGTTTCTACATTATGATTGTATCTATCTTGTTTGTCCCTAAGATGACATCATAGAAAGGAAAGTTCAGTGGTAGTTGAGCAAAATAGGGACACATTCTCTTAAGTTGCTCAATGGAGGTCAGTTCTTTGTCTAAAAATATAGAATGCTTTTTGAGGGCTAAGTTGTGGGTCAGGAAAACCACAAAAATATATTCCCTATACTTCAACCAATGAGAGACAGTACAGAAAACTAATTCTGGTGTCCTTTTTTGGCAACATAAAAGGTCTGGATAGTATAATTAAATAGGAATAAAGGGATTAATGAAAAATGCAAATGTTAACTGGCATATGGAAAAACTAATGTCTACGAGAGTGAACGATAATGCAAAATACTGATTTTTCTCATTTTACGAAAAGCTAAAACCAATTCCTCTTAGTTGCTTTGGCAAAAATACTAGGATGTTGTATATACTTCCTTTCAACCTCTACAGAGCAATGTCTTGTTATTAAAATCAGTAGCTATGGTTTAGAGTTAGAACTCTTGTTTCCTGATCACTAAACACTTAGGGTGGAAGAATCATGGTAGCAGAGAGCTTATGTTTTCAAGCGGTGGTTCCTAAGCGTTGTGTAACTGAATGTTGTCTGAAAACATCAGTCACAGGCTCTCACTTGCTTCAGCATCACACCTGACTCCCCTTCTCCTTTGCCTTGGGGTTCTTGCACCACCTTGTTGCTTGCTGCTGACCCTCGGTCTGCTGCATCAGCTTTCTTGCCCTGATTCCCAGGATTACCTGTAGTTCCTTTTAACTTGCCCTGGAGCTGCCATCCTTTTTGAGGTAAAGTTGCTGACTCTGGCTGTGCCGTGCTAAGCGTGGTCTAGAGCCTTAGGTACCTCTGCACTGTGCTCCCCAGTGCCCCTGCCAAGAGACCTGATGGGCAATTCATGAGACTACAGTTCTGAATCATTTAGAAAAGCAGTAACTGGCAGTCGGTATATAAGCAACTCCTTGGCGGATAAGCCAGAGGGTTGTGCACCCATCCAGAGTGAGGTCAACAGGCTGGAGAAATGGATTGTCAGGAACCTTGTGCAGTTTAACAAAGGCAAGCATAAAGTGCTGCACATAGGGAGGAACAACCCCAGGCACCAGCGTATACTGGGGGCTGTCCGTCTGGGAGACAGCTTTGTGTAAAAAGACCTGAGGGTCCTGGTGGACACCAAGTTTGTAGAACAGCTCAGGCTGAAAGAAAGGAACTGCAAAAGATCATCTGGTCCACTCTTTGTGGAAAAGAGAGCCTAGATGAGATTATCTAGCCCCCTAGTTCATTTGCGTCTTGAAAACCAATGTGGCATCTGAAATGGTTCTAGGCTCCCCAGTGCAACAGAGATATGAAGCAGCTGGAAACTGTCCAGCTACTAAGATGATGAAGTCCTTCATATGAGGAAGGGCTGAGAGAGCTGAGACTGTTTACCCTGAGGAAGAGAAGGCATGGAAGGGGTCTTATCAGTGTGTGTAAATACCTGAAGGAAGGGTGCATTGTGACACCTTTGTTGGTTGGGTCACAAAAACTTTTCCTCCATGGCAGGCCCTCAAAAGAGCAAAACAAGTTATATTGGTTGTATATACTTTTACAACACATCCTTGCAGCTTTTCCCCTTGTAGTCTGTATAGAATTTGGGAATCTTTGGTTGGAAGGAGAATTCAAAACTGTTAAATAGCCAAATGATCCTTATCAGTAAAAGGTATGCCATCCTGGATACTGCTAGCATTACTAAAAACCCCAGATTACAGTGTAGATGTAGTCACACTCTGAATATACATGTCAGTAACATCTCAAAGAACAGTCTTTCTAAATGACATAACTGTTTCAGGATTACCCACGACTCAGGGGACTGAGCTCTAATCTAGTCTGAGAGAACACCTTTGTGCCTTGTAGTCCTTTTGATACATCTGGCTTGCCTGAGCAGACTCCCAGCATGTGCTTAGCATTGCTCCAAGTCTGTTCTTCCTACCACTTAGTCAGATGTCTTGATTTTTGGGTGTAGATACACCATGTCTGTCTTTCCAATGCACACAATGTATGTTTGTAAAATCAGATACAGTCTGCATTTTTTACTTACTGCAGTGCCTAGGCTGTTTTTAGAGCCTTGTGAGAAGTTAGAAATTGTTCTCCTAGACGTTTGAAGATCTGAAAACATAAATATATCAAGGATACAAACTCAATTTTATAAAAACATAATTCACATTTTTGAGTTTTAAATTAACTAGAAGAAAGGAAGTTTCTTCTCGGGGCTGAAGGAAGTGGAATGAAGGAAAATACATTGGGGAGAAATTGAGTAATTATTGGGGGAAAATGGAGGAAAAAAAGTGGTAGAATACATCAGAGTGAAAAACGTGAAGGAAGAAACTGAAGGAGGACTGCAGGCAGGGCACCGCAACGGCACCTCTTGTTTGCTGGAGGCATCTGAGAAGCTTTTGGTCACTGTTAGAAGACACTAAGCAAGGTGGACTTTCAACATGACCTATGTATATGTATACATGCATTTATATATAAAGACAAAAAATTAAAGGGTTCTAAGCACAAACAATGAAGCCATCAGGTGCTTAGATACGCCTACAAGGAAGGAACTTAGATTAAAATTGTGGTTCTATAGACATAGAAAATGCTCTGCGGATACAGATGTGTAGAAATTACATACTTGTAATTACAGTTTTCTGACTTGAGAAAGGGCATCAAAGAAATAAAAGGAAATTGAGAGGCAATAAACTCAAATGCCTTAGAAATTTTATTTAAAAATAAACTGAATCTCACCTCAAACTAAATATTACTCTACTTTAGAAAATGTAGTGAGACCAACATTTTTTGAGAGCACGAGGCTGATAAGAGATCTTTCACGTGATGGCAACACAGACTAAGACTTCTTATCAGGAAGGAACTTCAGAAGAAGTTTTTCTGAGTGTCTGTACTTACCAGTTTCATCATGTCTTCTGATACACTAAAAAGAGGTAGTTGAAGGTAAGCTTTTGGACTAATTAGACCATGTTCTGTTTCATATAAAATGGCAGATTATGCCTTCAGAAAGCTATGTGCAGTGGTTTTTTTCCAAGTATCTTCCAAGTTATCTTTTCTGATTTAAATGTTGCTGATGTTTGAGATTTACTACTATTTGGAAAGTTTTATGTGGAACTGACTGAGAGAAATGGTGTTTTGTTAGTCAGCCTCCATAAAGTCCTTGGATGTTAAGCCTGATGTTCCTTCGATTTCTGTCTGTGGAAACCAGTGTGGGTCATTATATCTTCAGCCAACCCCCCACCCCAAAGAAGTTGCCTTAAGCAGTCATATAGAATTTGCCAACAAAAGTTACCTGTAAATATGAAGTTAAGGGCACTCTAAAGAATCTTGTTATCTTCTGGATCACAAGGCTGGTAATTTATTTTCATTACCTTGTTTCAAAATGGAAGATAAATCTGTTTCCAGACACCAGCTAGTGTCTACTGTGTGTGGCTTCCTCATAGCTTGTACTCAGGCCATGCCTTGCACTGTCTGCTTGTGAGTAGCTCCCTGCCTTTGTAAGACTCTGTTCAGATTCCTCTTCACCTGGGATAGAGAAGCATGAACTTGTTTGTATTAGGCTGTGTGTCCCTTTTAACTAGTAACTGAATAATCAGTGGGGCACCAGGGCTACATATGTACTAATAATTAATAAAAATTAAACAAAGGAGTTAGTCTCTGACTTGGTGGCCACCTGCTGTGTCAAGAGTTATGTTAATATAATGAAAGTATTTTTAACCCCCTCCCTACCACACACAAAGTACTTGCTGGGAATGTCTCTGCCTCCGCTTATCTGTGCCCAGACATTTGTCAAGGAAAGTACTGCCTTTATTGGGCAAAAATGGAAGCAGGGTCCATACTAAGAGCCTGATGGTATGGAAAAGTGTGGCTCGAAATTCAGGCTCATTACCAGACTCTCTTACAAGTAAGGAGCAAGCCAGATTTTCAGATATGGAAGACTCCACGGTATGAGAAGAGAGCCCAAGTGCTATTCCTCTATTGGGGTGTTAAACTCATGTTTGTGAATCACACCTTGCTGTTGCATGCAGCTTCTTTGGAGAGAACTAGCCTAATTCTTTGCCTCTGGGAAGCAGATTTACCATCAACAAGAGTCTCATGGCAAGAACAAGCGAGTAAACATCTAAACATGCGGAGTTTCTGAGTAAATACTGCTTTCACTTAATTATGTGTTCTTTCACCGGGGAAAAGTACTGAACGCTACTGCAGTGCCGACTCACCTTTCTTTTGGAAGTCGTAGTCTGTACGTTCAAGAAAGCAATATTCCTCTTAGGGGCTACTGTCTGTCATCTCTGTACATGAGAAGGGTAGAGATGATCCAGTTGCCAAGTTCTTTTTCCTCTGTAAATCATCAGAGCCTCTGTCAGTTGATTTCTTGATGAGTCTCTTATCAGATGATCAGATTTCTGCCAATTGACTTTGTTTCCAAGGCAACCTCTCTCTCTTGACGAGCCAGTTCCCTTCAGTAGTAGGTAACTTATTTTTTAGAGTAGGTTGATTACATTTTAACTGCATAGCTCTTAACAAGATATTGCTGCTTAAGTTTCAGCCCTACATGAAAGTGAAGAGATAACAAGCAAAAGTCTGTAACTAAAATGGAGCTGGCAGCATGGTAAAGATACATAAAGGGATTTTACGGTCTCACAAAATTCATAAATTGTACATACTCTCCAAAGATAAGCCTGCTGACCAGTCATTCTCATTTATATATGTATTCACTGTATTTTTCTTCTAAAAATGAGTTCCAGTTAAGCTGTTTAATTTAGGAGGATGTTTCCCAGAAGTACAGATAGTGCTGTGAATACCAGTAGTACAGCAACCTGCTTTCCTAGTCATGTAGGTCTCTAAACTGGTTGATACTGGTGTTTGAGAAATCACAGGCTCCCACCAGACTGGTTGGTCTTACCCTTCATCTCACATATGTGGTGTTTCTATCTGATAAGTGTTTGCATTACCACATCCTTTGCTTTAGTGTCTGTTCTGTTCAGCTGCTTTTGTTTCCTACAAAACCTGTAGGATTGTCATTGTTGAGGTTTCTTGAATTCGTCCCTTGGAATTACAGTTTAGGGGAAAAGGCACAGGTGGGATGTAGTTACAAAACTTTTTCTGAAGAAAGAAAACTCGAACATCTGTTTTCATATAGACAGGCAGTATATTTATGCCTACATATAATTCTGCAGATACTGATTTCTGAGTATATCTGGGTTAGTATGAGGTGAGTGAAGTTGTTATTCTTTTGCTTATCCAGTGTCCTTTCAGGTTATAGTCTTGAGTGCAGGAATGGCTGAACCTCGTAGAATCATTTCTTAGGCTTTTAAAGTTCACGGGACAAGTTATTCACATAAATGGAACAAAATTTAGATTTCTGTCAGTACACTGAACTGTATTTAACGTGTGCTGTAGAAACCCTCTTTTTTACAGATGCCAGTCTATTTTTGAGTAGAGATGTAGGCAGTTTTCTATTTATTTATTTTTTTATTCTTAAAGCATTGCTTTTCCAGAGGAATGGGAATTGCCATGTGTGAACAGAAATAATTTCAAGATGGTTTGTGTAAACGTTTGGATTTTGGAGCACTTAAGTCCTCGTGCTGTAAAGAGAAAACATGATTCACTCTTAGCCATAATGAAGCAAGTGTTCCTCTGCAATGTGATTACCTGGGCAAGTTTTGACTGATCGCAGCAAACTCTCCAGTCCTGTCTTTAGGGAACTGATCTTACAGGAGCTTTGTCTTTTCTTCTGTCTCCATCTGTTGATAGGATGACTTACATCTTCTGTCTGGACTGGCAGACAGGATTTAGGCGCCAATCCAGCAAACCACTTAAACAAGCTTTAAGCCTTATAGCAACTCAATTAACAGGTTAAAAAAAAATGAAATAACATTGCTAACACACTACTGTTACCTTTAGAAGGAAATTTAGGAGATTAGATTGTATTGGTACATGAACTATAAATGGAATAAGAAGTGTTAAATTAAACATACACTGAGAATAGAAGACATAGATCTAAGACCTCTGTCTTTAGTACAGAATTTAAAGGAGGAAAGATTGCTGTTTAATAGAAAAGAGAGTCTATGTCTTGTGTATTTCTGCTAGATCAGTGCTGCTTGAGAGTGCAGCATGGCAAATGGAATAGATTTATCACAGATGTAGGAATTTCCTCTGACCAGAGAAAGACTAAATTGCAGCACTACTTACCATTGCGTTACCGGGAAATGACAACACACGCGTTTCCTGTACTGACAGAACTAGTGATCACCGTGCAGGTAGCAGTAGTTCACAGGCAAACCTGGAAATGCTAATATTTGCTTTAAAAGTTACTAATGTGTTTCTTTCTTTGAAAAGATCTTCTCATTAAATCTTTTCAAGTGTTCCTTCTATCAGAAGAATCACTGTCACTGTGGAGGGATGAACGTACGGTTTTAAGCTAGTTGAGTTTATGTTCAGTTAATGAAATTGATGATGAAGTAAAAATTGCCTCTTTCTGAGTTTAGTTTTTGGTTCAGCTTTCAGTGTTACTGTACAAGTGGAAATGCTTTAGGTTTTGTGTTCCATAATGGTGACCTCTTGTGGTGCTTTCTGTAATACACGGTGGAGGAAGTTGTATTTATATGTCGTTTTTAATGACAGTTTTAACTACTAACTTAGTAAAATGACTTATAGTCTTTTCCAAATAGTTATTAATATGTAGATTTCATACTGCACATGTGAAGAAAGAAGCATTTTGTGCATTGTATTCTAATACGCGTTGTATGTGTCTGTACTGATTCTTTTAGTGACCAGATGAAAAAGCCTGGCACAGATTCATCAAGGCCAAGGAGTATGGGCTCGAAGAGACCAGCAGCAGGTACTTCATATGGCATTTCGATCTCAGAATATCAAAAAATGTGAAATACAGTCAAATAGAAATAATGTCATTTTGGTGATTTGAAGATCTTTTTCTTCTTTATTCGCTGAATGTTTGGTTTAGTTTTCTAGATGTACTGCATTTTTTTTTCTGTTCTTGGTAAAGAGAAACAATGGTCAAAAGATCTTCAGTCTAAAAGCCTGTTGAAATTTGCTCTCTTGTTTTTCCATTAACACCTTGTTTGCCCATTGCTTTTTGTAAACTGGCATAGTTGTACAGAAACTAATAAATTATGCCAAGCTGTATTAGCAGAAGATACAGATTCTAGATTGCCCTGCAGGGATGCATTTTGCTAATTTTACTTAACAGATTTTAATTAATATTTCCTTTAATCTGGCATGTTTCATACATGGCAAGTGCATATTTGAAATTCTGATATGGAAACCTGAAGTTTCTACTCTGCTGTTATTATGCTTTCTTACTATTTTTCTAGAACTGAGAAGTTCCATTACTCTGGATCATTCTAGTGAAGGCTGTAATGTGCTCTGCTTTCATTTCCTTCAGAGGAGCTGAGAGTATTTCTCATGTCACGGGAGTTAGTATTCTGTGGGGCTTTATGTTTATAAGCCTTTCTAATTTATCTGTGTTATTTTATTGGTGCTATTGAAAAAATCATGTGTGTTATTAGATGTCTTCCTTCTAATATCTACTTTCTTTAAAATTATGTAGCTTCCTTAGTTTGTGCATTCTTCATCTTTAATCCCAAAATAAACAGTGGGATAGCAATAAGAATTCTAAATAATTTCTTCTCTATAGTGGCGTTCTGGGGGAAGTGTTCATTTACAGATTACTTTATTGTTTTATTTGATTTGTGTTTATACTTATGTGAGGAGGTAGACTTTTTAAATATTGATATATTCGGAGCCACTCAGTATTCTGTGCAAAGGCTACACATAAGTCAGGCAGAACACAGCTTTTGAAAGCTCAGTGTTGCTAAGGCTCTTGTATTTACATGCTAAAAACAGCAACCAATAAATGTAGACTGATTAGTGAATTATTTTTTTTTTACCAGAATGCAAAGCTGTGGTTAAGACCTATGAAAAACTGAGACAACAAACTTCAACTCGATGAATTCTTTTTCTTGAGTATTTTTGCTGTTGAATTGTGATTCACTGAATTAGAAGGTTCAGGACAGCTTCTGCTATATTTTAAATACAGCTAGTGCCATAACTTTTCATCAGCACCTTAAAAATCAGCCAGGACAGAGAAACATGCAAGTGTAGAATTTATTAATATTTCCTTTCTTTTTAATCATGTATTTCTTGTTCTTTCTTATTGCTAAGATCAACATTGATTAGTTAAAAACTGATTATCTTTTTTCCCCCCTAGTCACAAGATATGTTTATTTTTAAAAATTACGCCACTGTGACTTTTAGGCTTCTGTATTTTTCTTATGAATGTGAGACAACTGCAGCAGAGGGGCACAAAAAAATCAATGTTTTTTTCTGAACTAAAAATTGAATGGCTTTGTTATTTTTTTTCCTAATGAGAAGTTTGGTCGTATCTGCAAATACATACATGAACTATTCTGTTTCTTGCTTCATAAAGTTAAGCATGTGGATAGTTAAAAAGTCGGTCCCATCTTTCAGTTTAAGAGCGGTAGCTATGTATTGGAAACAAGAGAAATAATTGAGTCAATGTGTGGGTTTTGTGGCAGGAAGGAACAGCGCAAACTATTGCAGCGTTCTCATCTCAGTTATGCTCTTGCATTATCCGGAGCAGAGCTTTCACTTTATGGCAAATGTTACATAGTGTTTTATTAATTAAGCTACTCATCGATCTAAATAGGACTGTTAACTCATTTGATCTAGAAAATAAAAAATGCCTGCAAAATAATAATATATTAGGTAATAATAATATTACCTAATAGCATATACTTATACATGTGTATGCACAGAGCAACAGTATATGGTTTTTGTAATAATGTATTGACCAGTGTATCACTTAAGAAACAGCAGCATTTCTGTATAATGTGTTTAAATACAAAAAACTGATACATTCATCCTGTGTAAAATATAGGTTGACAGTTAAACAATACAAATACACAAAATGAGTCTGGATTATTATTTTTTTAAAGAGCAGCCTTTTTATTTTAAATATTTGCTCTTTAAAAAATAGTCAAGAAGTTTTTGGTTGTTTCACTGTTCCAAGTAATGCTCAGTAGACAGTAATTTTTAAGGTCTGAGATACTGTTCTCATGATGCAAACCACTCAAATACCAGTGTTGTCATGCATAGTATTTTTTGTGTTTGATAATGATTACGTTAAGAATTTACATTGTCATTTAGCTGAAAGAGCTAGTAATGAACAGTAGGAGACACTTTCTGATGGATCTGTTACTTAAAAAAATGTATATATTCTAGTCTTAATGGCTTTCTTCATGTTCTTCATGTCACGACAAACCCATGCAACACTACAGGCTTGGGGAAGGGTGGCTGGAAGGCTGTACGGCGGAAAAGGACCTGGGTGTTCTAATTGACAGCCGGCTGAATATGAGCCAGCAGTGTGCCCAGGTGGCCAAGAAGGCCAACGGCATCCTGGCTTGTATTAGAAATTTTGTGACCAGCAGAAGAAGGGAGGTGATTGTCCCTCTGTACTCAGCACCTTGAGAATTGTGTTCAGTTTTGGGCACCTCAGTATAGGAGAGATATCGAGGTGTTGGAGCGAGTGCAGAAAAGGGCAACAAAGCTGGTGAAGGGCCTGGAGAACAGACCTTATGAGGAGTGATTGAGGGAGCTGGGTCTGTTCAGTTTGATGAAGAGGAGGCTGAGGGGGGATCTCATCATGCTCTACAATTACTTGAAAGGACATTGTAGAGAGGTTGGTGCTGGTCTCTTCTCACAGGTAATTAGGGACAGAACCGGGGGAATGGTTGCAAGTTGCAACAGGGCAGGTTTAGGCTGGACATTAGGAAGAAATTCTTCACGGAAGGAGTGGTCAGACACTGGAACAGACTGCCTAGGGAGGTGGTTGAGTCGCCATGCCTGGATGTGTTCAAGTGTTGTTTAGATGTGGTGTTGGGTGATATGGTTTAGGGGTGAACTTGTAGTGTAGGGTCAACGGTTGGACTCGATGATCCCAAGGGTCTTTTCCAACCTGAATAGTTCTATGATTCTATGATTCTTTAGTGGAGTTGTGTGGCTTTTATTTCCCTGTTTGAATAAAAAACAACCAAACAAAGAAAACGACAAACTAAACCCCATCTTTATAACAACAGCTGCCTGCAATATAAGGAGCTTAACCTAGTCTTGAACTCCAAAAATATACCTATGGGCACCTTGTAAGCAATTGTGGGATCCTTTAAAACTCAAGTTGTGCAGAAACTGGCTCTTCAGCTGTTGAGGGCCAATGGTCAAGACCAGAGTTCTGTCACTTCACGTAGTGTCAGATGAATGTGAAAAAGGTGTTCAGCAAGTCAAAATAACTCCCAGTGATATTGCATCCATATGAAAGCCAATCCTGGAATCCATTTTTTGATAAGCTGTATTTCACCAACTTCCGACTTGTCCAATCTGAAAACAGATCTGTGCTCCTCGTCTTGTTTCCAGAGGAATTCCAGACCGCTGATTTTTTGGTCTACCAATTCTTAACTTGGTGTATACTGATAAACTTTCTTTGTCTTTTCTTCTTGCAGTATAAAAAAAAATGAAATGTTTTTTGAAACTTCTCTTTGTGAGGTTGACAAGGTTTCTGATAATGAACTGTAGCCCCTTCTCAGTTCCTGTGGAGGAAATTGGTTGAAGTTGGCCAAGAAAATTCAGAGTTGGTTGCCTTCAAGGTTTCTGAGGAGGCAAAACACCTTTCAGCCATCTGTAGTTTGCTATTAATTTCCAAGATGCTGTGTGAGAAATTGTTTAATGTAAGAAAATAGGAGGGAAACATGCATTTTACAAAAATTTATCAGAGAAGCTCTTGAAACTAATTGCATAAAGTGCTTAAAATAGCTAACAGGATATAACTGACAAGACTATTTTCCCCTAACTGACCAAAGAGTCAGTTAACCAAGCTTAGTGTAGTATTGTGCATGTGTACTAGATAAAATTGTACAGTCCTTGAGGATTGTCTGTAGTATGGATATTTTTTAACACAGAATAAGCTGTCATGTGTACACGGAGCTGAAAAATAGTAGGACATGTTGATGTAAAAGTAGTCATTTCCTTCCAATTCAGCGATCAAATGAAACATTAATGTCGGTGAACAGAAACAAATCTGGCTTTACATTACAGCTTTACATATCAAAACATTTTTCTATCTAGTTTCACTTGAAACTTTCCTTTTTGCAAAAATGTAAATAAAAACAAAAGCTAGAATATGTACAATAACCCAGAATATAGCAAAATGTGACATTTTTAGATTTTTTTTTCTGACTGCTGAATAAAGTATTTGTAGTATTTATTTATGTAGAAGTTGAAACCTTCACTGAATATGTGCTTTTGTTTTGAATGTATTTTGAAGGCTTAGAGGATGAAACAAGAATAAATGAATCGGAAAAAGAAATCTTTTGGCATGTAAGGATTCTACCAATTCTGCACGAACTGGAAAAAGGTGGATACTACTGTTCTTGAAAACGTGTATTTTCCATACTGTTTCCTGTACTGTTTCCTGGAGGATACATGGGACTTATTTGTGTTTACTGTGAAAGAGTAACAGTAATTGAATTATCTAGCCTTTTATGCTTTCTTAAGTGCAATGACTTTGCAATGTCTTTGCAGTGTAAAACTAGCCTGGGCAATGGTCTGGAGGTGGCCCTGCTTGAGCAGGGGTTTAGACCAGATGACCTCCAGAGGTCCCTTCCAACCTCAACCATTCTGTGATTCTTTAAAAAAACCGAGTAACCTGATTTAGAAAATTTTTTACCTGCTTAAATTACCTTATTTTAGATGATACAGCTCTGCCAACTTAGCAGTCAGTGATGAGGTAATAATTGTAAGAATAAAGTACTGCACAGATACACTATTTTAAGCATATTGAAGGTCTAGATTAATTTTAGAAAACTAAGGAAATCTTAATGAAATTTTCTGTTTGTGCTTTAAGTGTTAGATGTCTCAGAAAAGTATGCAATGATCAAGAATATTGAAGCAAAATTCAGTAGATTCAGTATGACTTGAACGACCAAACTCTGAAATCCATTTTAATGTTTCATTCAAAAGGTTGTTTAGTTGCCTTCTATAGACATTATTTGAATGATGGGAATACAGAAAGTGGATTTGTTTTTACAAGTCGTTAAAAGTGAGTGTCAAATTAGGGAATTGATTCTGTTTTACAGGATCTTTTGCAGTGTTCATTACAGCGTGGTACAGATTAGGTGTGTTGGGGGTTTTTTTGCGTAATTTTGCAAATGTTGATGAGTATGAAACACCTGTACGGTACTGAGTGATTTCCAAAATGTATCATTATTTTAAAAAGATGGGATTCTCATTCGCATATCTGTAACTAACATATAGATAAACAGTGATCAGGAAATTTGATAACAGCTAGGCAGCTTCACTTTTTCCTTACTTAATGCTGAGATTGTAAAATATGAGCCACTCCGTTTTGCATAGTGAAATATTCTTTAAGCAAAATATTATTTGAAGGTAAAAATCTTGTCATGCCTTTCCTTTGACATGAATGTAACTAAGGAAAATCAGATTTCATGCCCCTTTTCCTTAGTCTTTACTTGATTTAGTTAGTGTGTTCATGTTTTTTTCACTTTTTAAAAAAAAATTGATTATGGCTTAATTTTTTTACTAATAGATGAAATTATCTAACTATAGTGACTCACTAGTTGATTGAAGGTAGTGCTATGAAACCCTTAAAATTAAGAGTTTTGGTACTTCTTGAATAGTCACACAGATTGTAACTGAATTAAATCATTGCCACCTGCAGCTGCATGTCATATTGCTTTGTTTAGGCTGTTTACTGCACAGTTGCAAGTTATCCTACCACAATGAATATTAGAATTCCATAATTTTAATGTTTTGAGTGGGTCTGCTGGTATTTCAATGTTTTGAAAATGTTGTGTGCAGTCATGCCTTTCAGCTAGTTCCCTGCACATGCATTGAGGTCACATTTAGTTTTTTATATATTACTAGAAAAGCCTTTTTCTTCATCTTTCTCCCTCCAAAATACTTCCAGAAAACTTCCTATTCTAAAACAAATCCAAAGTTTAACCTGCAACTTCATTATTTTCTCAAATCCTTTGAATATCATGCGTTTGGGATGATTGTTATGTGACAAAACGAAATAGAACCTCAAAATCTCTTTTTCTAGAGGAACAAATACTTCCGTTTGTTCCATTCCAGTCCTCGAGGAGAGATAAGCTTCAGAAATGCCCTATGGGATGCATGATGAATAATTTTTTGTTGTTGTTGTTAATTTTGATGAAATGGAATGGCAACGTTGCAGTTTTGGTTCCTTGCCATTCCTGTTTCATGGCTTATTGGAGCAGCGGATTTAGAATCATAGTAAATTTTATGAAATTTTCTGTCATAATGGGAGTAGAAGTGGAGTAAAAACAGTCACTGCTGTTACTCAGCTGCGATGATTGCAAATTGAGAGGTTGCACGCATTGCTCAACGTGAAAGCTGATGGGACCTTGAATTTGCCCACAGGTTTGGGACCTTAAATAAGTTCTTTTTCTTTTGATGAAATTTATACAGACAGGAAATTACAAGTGCTTTGCCTCCTCATATATGTCTCTATTTCATCTGTGAAGTGCATCCTGAGTAAATGCAGAGTTTATACACGCAGTTTAAGTGGGTTTATGTGGTGCTTTGTTAATGTCACCTTATAGACGACAGCAAATGTAAGAGAAAGAAAAAAGAAACCCTCGCTCTTGAATTTTAAAAATAGGCAAGACTTTTCCTTTTCCCTCTAAAGTAAACATGTACATGACTTCATTGTGTTGATATGCAAATTATATAATAATTTGCTGTGGGTTTTATGCTTGTGTTTTTGAAATAGTGTCTAAGAGACTCAGGTTAAGAGGTAGATGACTTTTTTTGTCAGTAGGCCAACAATCCACTCAAAGGTATCTTGCATATCTTGTATGCATTGGAGAGTTCTAACAAGTGTTTACATTCACTTGTTCTTAATCCTAGCAAGATTTGATATATTAGGTTATGTATATGTACAGAAAAACATTCCTTAACTGTCTCTTTTCCACTTATTTGGTGGAGCTCTTTAAAGAATATGTTTGGAATCACAGTTCCCTAGTAGAGATTTGGTCTATTAAACATTTAAGGTGAGTTTCATTTTAGCTTTAGGTATTACTTTGGCTCTGTGGTTTCTTGGATTGAGTCTCTGCTTTCTAAAGGGCAGAATAAAACCATTTCTGAGGGTTGGATTATCGTTTTCAGAGATGTATTGAGCACCTGATTTTTTTTTGTTGAGCAACTCACTCTTCATTTTGTTCCCCTGTGTTTTTGTAATGCTCTGGAAAAGATGGCACTGATAGTTATTTTTTTATTTATGCCTCCCTTCCCACCCCTTTCAAGTAGGAGATGATATAGAAAATCTTTGTCTGGCTTGCACCAAGCTCTATCAAGCCTTGAATGAAGGGAATATGCTTCAAAAAAGATTTAAAGGAAGAAGCGTGCTTCTGAAGACATTATATAAACTTGTAGATACCAATTCAGATCTACTTCACCTGAAGCTGGCGAAGATTATTCTGGCTGTAAGTGTTTTAAAATACTGTTTGGTAGAATGTGAAACTCAAAATCGTAAATTAAAACTTTCATTTGATTTTTTTCTCTTCATAATTTTAAACTGTGTCTAAACTAACTCTTCATAAGCACAATTTCTCACCATATGGGTACTAGTCTCCCATTCATGCAGCTTGGCACTTGTTGGAGCCTTTTATTTGCAGAGAAATTCCAACTGGGGGAGGAAAGAAGGACACAAAATAGGATAGCTGCTGTATGGTAGCAGAAACATTGGTTAGGTGTGGAAAAGAGGCAATGTCCCAAGCTGAGATACACATGCAGGGATTTAAGCAAAACAGTAATTAAAGAAAAATACACTTGAAAATGAAGTTTAGTTCTTGAATAATATCTTAATCTTATTACACACCTCCATCTGAAAATGCCAAAACATTTTTTCAGAAAGTAAATGAAATTATCTTTTTCCCCTGTATTTTTAGTTAAAACTCTGAATCAAGTTGGTGCTTTTGAACCTATTGGTTCAGCTACTACTGAGTATGTATGGACAGTCACTGGTGAAAGGATACCAGGCACTGTTGGAGGCATTTTAGTCATTTTGTGTGTATGTGTTTTGAGGGGGGTTCTCCTTTAAGATAGCATGTGTTATTTTAATCAGAAGATTTCATTATATATTCAGATACTACATAGATGTTAAGTGGTACTTTCTTTTGTAAATTTTCAACAATTTTACTTCTCTTCCATGATCTTTCAATGGCCATTAGTACATCATAGGATCTTTTTTTATATGAGAATAATATCTTTTTTATATGAGAATAAGTTTCATTGTGACATGTGATGTTCATAGAGTAGAATCATAGAATGTGTTGGGCTGGAATGTATCTCTAAAGATCATCTAGTCCAACACCCCTGCAGTGAGCAGGGAGTTGTACGGGAGTTGTTTGTGGTTTGGCCATCGATGCCAAACCAGTAAATCTTGTGCGAAATTTCTTTGTATGAGTGAATTAGAAGGGAAAAAAAAAAGAAAAAGTGGAAGTTACTGATATACTACTACCTGCAGAAAATACATAAAGAGTTTATATATCGTTCATATCCCTGTTTCGGCAGGGTAGTTGGACTGGATGATCTTTTGAGGTCACTTCCAATCCCTAACATTCTGTGACACTGTGATCATCTGTTACTTTAAAATGAGCTAAATAGAGCTTAAACTAGCTAGGTTTTAGAATCCTTTAATTCTGCAAACTTTTCAGTTTGGTTCAGCATTCTGTCAGGGTCTCAGCTGGAATTTAATAATTCTGTGAGAGTACAAGCTTGCTGTGGTGCCTGAACTTGTAAAATATTATGGTTTGGATGTAGATTTTAGTTGTGATTTTTATTTTTTGCTTTGTAGATGAAAGTGCGTGGAAAAGGTCTTCTTGGTGTTTGCAAGCTTGCATTTAACATCTGCAGAAATGAAAAAAATGATTACATCGTTCAAAATGATGGATTATTTGGTATGTATTCTGTTCTTGCATGTAAGTTAGATGTTGAAATTCAGTAGTTAGACTGATTATCTTTCAAGAAACATTAGAGTTAACTTAGTCACACACTAAAAATTGCCTGCTAGGTCAAACTAATAGTCCATCTAGTCCAGTATTCTGTGTCTAACGATGGTGATAGGGGAAGCTGTTCAGGGAGAGCGTGGAAACCTATGTGTTTTGTAATCCATTTCCCCTGTACTACCCCAGCATCCAGTATTGTTACGTTCTATTAGGGACGTTAGATGGTGCATCCGCACCTAATCATTTTCTAGTCTCTGTTTATAGATCTTTTGTTCATTAATTTGCCTAATTCCCATTTGAACTTTCTGTCTGCTTCTGCAGTCTCATAGAGCAGCAAGTTCCAGAAGTTTGGAGCAGTCTGTCTGCTATTTTAAACCTATCTGCTTTTCATTATGCCCCTGCTTGTAGTTTTACAGAATTTTTAAGAGTTAGAGTTCCTGGTCAGTTTACCCTCCACCTTCAAGATTTTTAAACCACAATCGTATCATATATCTCTGCCTTCTTCTCTTCAGATTTAGGCTTCTCAGCCTTTTAGCTCACTCTTTGAAAAGATACTGTGTCATTCTCTCAGTTGTTGTAGTAGCTGTTCTCTGTACCTTCTCCAGCTCCGATAGATCCTCGAGATGTTGTCATGAGTTAGGGCTGAGATGGCCACTGAACGCTGACAGATGCTCTTTAACCCCTCTCCCTCCTCAAAATGAGAAGGAAAGCGGAATAAGGCAGAGACTTACGGATTGGAAAACTAAAACAGCTTTGATAAAACAATAATAGAATTAATAAGGAAATAATAAAAATAATGAACTATGTACAAATATATACAAATCCCATATCGAACCCAATTCCCTCCTGATAGCAATCGCCACTGATGCTGCAGAGCTGGTGGCACTGGGGAAGCCCCAGGCTCAGTGGCAGTGGGGAGCTGGATACAGCAGCTGGATTCAGGAACTCAGGATCAAAGGCAGAAGATGGGACAGAGTCCTCCTTGGATGCTGGCCGTTGCAGAAGAGGGATTAACCCCTGCGATCCCTCCATTTTATACTGAATATGATGTATATGGAACCAAATACTGCTGTTGATCACCTGTCCTGTCTGTTCCTCACCGGAGGTGCAACCTCTTACTTCCTTGTGACCTCTTTTACTTCCTGGCACCCCCAGCGTGGCACACAAGAGCCAGCAGTGACCTTGGTCACTAGAGGACTAAATATAAACAAGAGCCTTTCTGCATCCCAGTCCCAGGCAGGAACTGTAAACATGAGGCCTTATCACTGCCAGTAGCAGACACTGTCTGCAAAGACATGCTGCTAACTTGAGAAAGTGCGGCTTCTTAGAAGAGACTGAGCTGGAAAGTAAAAATCACTGAACAAAACTGGTTCTGTTTAGCTCAAACAAGGACAGATGCACAGGACAAAACAGTCTGTAGAAGTCAAGATGTGTCTGCACCAGATTTTATAGAAGCTGTGTTGTTGACCATCACTGGGAAGGACATTGAGAACAATCACTGACTTTTTTAGCTGCTGCTGCACATTGGGCCAATGATTTGGGGATAATTGTCAGCAATGGCTCCAGGATCTCTTTTGTGATTGTAAGTTTGTTTGTGTCATAACGCACGCTTTGCAAATAGGAGAAATATGAAGAGAATGACAGTGTATGAGAGATACCCAGTATTGATGATGGTCGTTCCTTTCATTAAAACTTTACCATGTTTTATTATCATAGGCCATGACCTTGCAAGCATTTGTTGAAGGTGCGTAAGTTAAAGCATATGTGTACATCTGCTTAAACAGATGAGAGAATTCATGGCCCTAAAGTTTAGTATGTAAGTGTTGTCAGAAATGAAGACTAGATAAGCCTTTTTAGTAGTAAGATAACAGAAAAGGACTCAGAGAAAAGAGAAGAGGTCACATTGCTCAACCGACTTTGAATACTGAAAACTACAGTTTCGTGGAGATTAGCATCATACAAAAATCTGGACAAATTGAGTGCCCATGTCTGTGTAAGCAATAGGGTTTTTTGCTCTAGTTTCCATCTTCACTCACTTTTCTTTCACTTGCTCTTGTTTTCCTGTATTTAAAAACTCATGAAGGAAAGAATATTTCTGACAGGGTTTTGTATGCTGGTTTTTTTTAATTGCTCTTTATGTCTTGGACTCGCCTTATCCAGGCCGAAGACCTGGATTATCATAATCACCCAGATTCCTGTTGCAGTCACTGGGTTATAGATAGAGGTTTTTTTAATTCCTCTCTCCCTGTGCACTATTTATGTGCAGTGGAGCAGCTCCAGTAGAAGAAATAAATTAACTGTTCTTCTCAAACCAGACAACTACTGTTCAAGACCCTGTTTGATACTGAGCAGAGCAAAACTGAGTTCTCACATTGCTACAGCCCAAGTAATTTAGCTGACCACAAATGATTGGTGAGGACAAGGGTCTGGGCAAGAGCCTAGAGCATGTGTACTTTACCCACATACACCATGCACTTGGAGGGAGTTTCAGCTTGAGTTGAGACAGAAGAAACTTTTGAAATCTCCTAAGTGTAATGAGGTGGGAAAATGTTTTTATTCAACTGAATAGAGCACAGGAAGCAGAAGTAAATATTAGTTCAATCACTTACTAGAAATTCCAAAGTATAAAATTAGTTAGGATTACTTATTTTTTTAAGATACACCCACCAATTTCAGAATGTCACAATTTGTCTTGAAAGATATATTTGGCTTGTCCTAACAGCTGCTAATTTTAACATTTCAGATATCTAACAGTGATAGCATAAATCAAAACTTTTACAGTAACTTTACCTATATAAAAAATAAATGTAAAAAGAAAGAAATTTCAAATATGAGATTTGAGTTAGATACCTGTTCTTTTTAGTGCTCCTTTTGAGATGCTTTAAGACATTTGATTTTTAAGGAAATAGTGGGAATAAACCTCTTTAGAGTGTCTCAAGTTTAGTATGCAAAATTCCAAGCACACACAACCACTTTTGCAAATCTTGGATGAGGATTTTGGTGATTACTACTATATGTTTACAACTGGTGCTGGTCCTTTAAGCCTGGGAGAGCAAAAGTCAGGCCCATTCTCTTCTTCATCAATAATTGTTTCTTGGCTTCGGTCCACATACCCGATTTTTCTAGTCCACTTACTAGAAATGTAAGAGTTCAATCTGAGTGGTTTTTTCCCAATTGTTAATCTCTTAAATGAGTGGACTGTATTAAATATAAATGTTAATTTTAGGCTTTCTGAATAATGATTTTCCTTTTAGATTGTTTGCTGGAGGTCCTGAGAACTGAAGATCTACAAAAAAACAATGAAGCTTTCCTGTATTGCATGGGAGCTATAAAATTCATGTCTGGAAATGCAGTACTCATTAACGAAATGGTCAACAAAGGAGCTGTTGAAATGTTGCTGCAATTAATGAAGCAGATTAATAATATAAAAGAAAATGACACATGTTTCTCCAACTTGGGCCACCTATTAGTTCAGGTTAGCATTTACTTTTATTTCTAGACGTACATACTTCAAAGGCAAATTAACAATTTAATTGGAGGAGATAAGCTAACCCTGCGTGCCAATGACAGAATTGTACCTATATTTGAATAGACATGAAGTCATTCAGGACCTAAATTTAATTATCATAGTTATTTTTGTGTTGTCAATTTTAAAGGCTTTAGAAATTCTGAAGTTGTTAGAAATATTTTTAGGTACCTCATAAAACCAATTTCTTATTACTTTATGGTGCTGATAATGTTTTGGATACTATAGTAAACAGATGAAAATGTGTTCCCTGTCTAAATTCTTTGAACTAATATAATAAATACAAAGCAGTTATTGCAATACTGTAGGAGATTACAAAAAGCTTTTTATTACAAGAGTGGTGCATTTTTAAAGATGTATATGAAAATATGACTCTGTTTCTTTGACTTTGAAGAACTGTAATTTAAGGAAAAGGTTGTTGTGAAAACCAACACTTTAAATCTTTTTGAAAGCAACAGGGTCAAAACTGGCTTTTCTTATATGAGCTACCTTGGTAAATTAATGGCTATTAAAACTAATCCTTTGCCCTAAAAACTGCTTAATCCTTAGTGATTTTGGAAAAAAAAAAAAGATTATGTAGCTAAATCTTACGTTACGCATAGGATGTGGGCGTTTTTTGTATTTGTCGAGGATTTTCCAGGTAGGTTCTTGGCATTTGTCTTGGAAATTATTGATGTAAAAAATAGTGAATGGTGTAATTGCAAGGTTTTGGGGACTTCATAGTAAAATATATTGGACAATTTTCTGAAGTAGTGTTAACCCGAATTTTTTTTACTAATAATACAAAAAATTTTTTTCATTCTCTACTAACTTACAAATGAAGGATTTCTTTTACTACTTGAAATTATATGAGAAAACAGATAGCTTACCTTATCACGTTACTATTACTGATTTTTGTCTGTTGATTTTGGTGGAGCTATGAAGTAGTCTCTCCAGAACAGTGTGTTTGATCTTGGTACAAACATAAACAGATTGGGAGATCATAGAATCATAGAATGTTGGGTTGGAAGAGACCTGTTTTGTTGATATCATACCTTATATTCTATTAAAAAAATGTACATGTGATTTCTAACTCTTCTTTTTCCAGGGAAGGTGTACAAACTTCAGGTGTTTTTTCCCCCTTTTGAAAAGTATTGAGGATAGACTGGGGTTCCAGAATAGATTATATTCTCAGTGTAATTTGCAAGGTGATAGGCAGTGACTTAAAACATCTAAACTAAAAGAAAAGTAATCTTGGATGAGGAAATTTAGATTATAGTTTTGCTAGGCAGTTTAAAACCTAAATTAGAGATATGTATCCAGTATCTTTTTTCTTGTCTATATAGTTTTAAAATATTTATCCTTCTGAGAGCAGGAAGGTGATGGTTAAAGGCAAAGCATGTTACTTGCTGACATTTGCGGGCTGCTGTTGATATTAATATTATAATACATATAATAGGAATCTTGTTGAGTAGAAAGAGATGGAAATCCATGCTAAATAGATGTAAAAAGAGATTTTTTGTAAGTTGAGGTATTTTAAAATAATAAATGATGTCGTAGTAGTAAAACTAATGAATCAGATTATTTTCAACTGTTTGATTAGCTAGCTGTCTGAACTTCCTCACAACTTTGCAGAAATGTTTTTTCTTCCATTATTTGTACGTGGATAAATTTATTTTTTTTTTAATCAAGAGTAAATTTGCAAATGTGTGGACATAAAAGAAGTGTAAAGTATAATAATATAGTCATTATTCTCTCTGATGTTTTCAGTGTGATTGCAAATGTAGCAAAACTAATTTGTTCAGTTTGAATAGACTGGCTGTTTCTCACAAGGCCTTGAGTATTTTGTGGACAAGTGAGAACCAACAACTGTCTAGTGTTGAGGCTGCCCTTTCTCGTGTTTGTATTCTCTTCCATAGTAGTACAGATACTTCATTTTTCTTCCTCATGGGAGAAAAGTAGTGAATCCTGCTGCTATGGAATTCCTGTGCGACTTTCTCATATCAGTTCCTTCGACAAATATACATAAACGTGCACCATTTCTTTCATGTGAGTTAATTGTTCAGTCATCATAGACAGTTGTAGGAATAGTTCTGTTTTCAGGGTTGCAGTATCAAAGAAAGTTTCTTCTCTGATTCATGTCTTGGGAATAAAGGAAGTTTTTGTGGCATACTTTAACACATAGCAAAAGATCAAATATCCAGAGACATACAGAAATAATGAATAAACATAAGTCTTCAATAATAGAGAGCGAATTACATTGAAGGAGAAAAACACCTTCAGTATTCACAGTGGCCTCTGAGGGAGGCTCTGCCATCTCTTAATCCAGATAACTGAAGTTATCTGGGACCAACTCTTCATTCTTTAACTGTATAATTGCACAATCACCAGATGGCAGTGTTAGACGTAAACTTGCCAGGTCCTTTTTGTGGGAATAAAGTGCTTATCCGATTTCTTCGTTGCTACATTATGGATTTTATGCAGAAGCCCTGCAATACAAGAATAAAAATGTTTGTAATAATTACTATTTTTCCTTAGTAGGGGACGTGAAACCAGGGTAATCTTCAACTCATTTTGTATTGCTTCACCTAATAGTCTGATTATATTTGCAGGAAAAATGGTAATGGTTATTCAAAAGCCCAGGCTTTTGAAGTGTCGCTGACAAGACTTAACAAGTACTCCATGTTCCTTAATTGAAAAGCACTTAAATGTCTTCCTCTTTAAAAATAGCATTTGTCTGCTGTTAAATTTTCCATTTGAGTGAATTTGATCTTTCACATGGCAACATAAGGATTAAGGCTGGTGGAGATTACTAGAGCCAATTGTTCTGCGTTGGTCCCTGAGACATGGTGCCTGCTTGAAGCAATCAGAATCTCTTGAATTTATCTGTTGCCTGACTAGCTTCTATTATTCCAAATTTCACTTGTGTACCAATTGCTCCTTTGTGGATATATACCTCTATGAACTTCTGAATTTCACTGTCTTGCACATTTAATTGTATATGGTTTTTTTGCATTGCTTTTTACTTTCCAATCTATCTTGTGTGAGGTTGCCTCTTGGTAGAACTTACTGCTGGAGGGTTTTGACCATCTAACTGTCTTGGGCAGTGAAAAAAATTACTCTCTTTTGGAGGCCTCTGAACCATTGTCTATTGATGAAGTTGTGGATTTTTTCACCATCTAATATGTAAGTCTCTGCTGCAGTAAAAACCCGGATCTGGGCTTGAACAACACTCTTAATATGTGTTGTATCCTTCATTTTTAGTATTGCGAACTTTAGCTAGAGCTCAGCAAATGCAATCCTAGGCTGACTGTGAACATCTCATATGTGAACGTTGAATGCAGTCTTCTGAGTCTGTTCCATTTGGCAGGAATTTTGCCACCAAAACTTTTGAATAGCAAAGTGTCTGATCGGAGTGTTTTCATTTTTCAATATTTCTCCAGTATCGTGTTGATTTTTGAAGCATCATGACTTTTTAAAGGAGCATATTTGGAAATACATTTTTTTTGCAGTTGTTTAGTTAAAATAACAAAAACCTTCAGTTATCTTCTTAAAATATGAGCAACAGGAAGGGAGTGGCTTCCATAGGTTCAGTTTCTGTTTATTTGGAATATAGTATATAGTTCATATTTAGTGCTGAAGTTAAATCCGTTCACATATCACCTTCACATTATCCCATTTTTTCCTTTCCCTCTGTGCTTTGCTTCTCCGTTTTGATACCTTTTTCATTCTCCTGTTGTTCCATTACAGAACATCATGTGGTAACTGAAGACACATACGCTTTTGTCAAATTTGTTGAAGTAGGACAGGTAATTTGAAAGCTGCTGAAGAATGGGCAGGGTAGTGCATGGAATCTGATGAGCAAAACCTCCTCAAACACAATTTAACCTGCTCTTTGTCAGATTGTCCCTTTAGATTTAGCATTGGACAAGCAGTCTAATTCGGTAATGAAATACTTAATTTCGAGAGTTTTTTGTGATTATGAGCAACTTGAACAGATAGTATTTGCCTTAATAAACAACATTTAAAACCAAATTGAAGTTAAACACCTTACTCTTAGAATAAGGAAAACTGGAAGTAATCCTATATTCCCATTAGATTAAATGACTTCACATTAATCTTCTAGGAAGTTCTGATTGAGATCAAGAGTTAGCATACATGTCATTGCCTGTCTGACCTTGGAAGAGAACCAGGACATTTCAAAATATGTAATAGCTGATTCATTTTGCATATCTGCTGGGTATTTTATGCTTAAAACTCCTCAAAATAGAACAGTATCTTCTGAAAATATTTTGGTCTCTGCAAAATAACCTTGAGACGCTTTTAATTTTTATGCTGTTCAAGTAGTGGGTTTCTCTTGATCTTGATTAACTTTTAATTTTTTTTTAATCAAAATGCATTTTACTGTCTTTAAAAATCAATTCACCTTAGTTTGAAACTTATAGTTATTTTCAAAATATATGTTATAATTCAGTATTAATTTGTAAGACTTATATTTAAGTTTGCAAAATCAGACATTGTGCAAAAAATCACTTTATCCACAGAATTTCACCTAATTTCCAGTTGCTATATGGTTATATACATGCATACAAATCTTTTATACATGTATACAAGATTTTAAAGCATCAGGTTTCCCTCAAAGATAGAGGTTACGTGCAGGCAAAGACCAGTATCAATCTTACATTTTCAAACAATTATTTCAATGTACACAATTCTGTGGCTTCCACATTTCCTGTTCCAATTTATTGGTAGATACGTACCTGCAGAATGTTAACAAGGCCTTCAGACTGCCTTAGATGTTAAAAAAACGAGATTTGAGCTTAATTAAACTTGCAGAACAGAGTGGATTTGGTTGTGAGGGGCTGTGATTAATAAATGCCTGACTATCCTGTGTGCAGCTGATAGCTACTTTCCGAAACTTGGCCGAGTGCCCTGCGGCGAGGGGCCGGCTCCTCCGCGGTGCTGCGGTCCCTGAGCTCTGCGTGGCGCTAGAGCAGCGTATGAATGATACCGACATCTGCACCTATATTGTCCGGATATTCAGGTACGTATGGAACACGGTGCTATTGCTTCACACAGTCCGGGCAGTGTTACCCTTTCGGGTGACCTCAAAGAGGATAGGGTCAGGCGCTAAAATTGGAAGACTTACGTTGAATTGTTATGTTTTGATTATTTTTTTTAAACGCTCTGCGTAGTTTTTAATTATTTTGTATGATAATTGTGTCTTTATTAATGCTGATAGGATTGTTTAACTGTAGCCATGGATTCGTTGTCCTTGTGAAAAATGTTTTGTCTTATTGTGCCATTCTTTAATCCCACAGCTTCTGACTGAGATTTTTAAAGTACGATTTCTTATATTTTAAAGCTGCATAAATTACTAAGTATTTATGAATCCTATTTTAGGCCATGTTTTAAAAAATGAATGCGAGAAATTACACAAGCTTAAGTTATGTGAGGGACTCTCTATTGTGAAATAAAATACAGGAAAGAGAAATGTGATCAGTGTTCATTGTTTTGAGCTGTCAAAGAATGTTCGAGGAGATTAATCTGTGGGATCAGGGCTTGAGTGTGCAGATGGAAGCGCTGAAAGAATCTAAGTTTTATGAGCAGGTCAATGGCTGCTTCCCAAGATGTGCTTTTTAGAGAAAGATTAGTATGAGTGAATCACTCAGAAAGATCCTTCTGTAGTCTGAATAGTTTCTCTGTCAAAAATCTTCCCGTTACCAAGCACCAGCTTGCAATATCCAATGCTAAATGGCCTTGGAAACAATTTAAGCATTTTGAAGAAGTTGTGAAATTAAATGTTGATAATTTCAGGAGGAGTTGGGTAATGAGCACAATTTATGAATGCTGTTCTGAATGAAGCATTTGCCATTGCTGCTTTGTTATTGTACTGAGTCATGGTGCCTTGCATTGCTGTGTTCACTGGCATTCTGGTATGGCATTCTCTTCCTGTTCAGCCCCTCCAAGTCATTTGTCACGTTCTTCTTGCTAGATGAGATCAAGTTGTGCTTTGAAGAGCAGCTACATAGGGGACTGTCATTTCTTCTGCTTCACAGCTAAAACCAGGCAAATCTCATCCTTTGCTGTTTGTGCTACCTATAAAGCATATGAATTGCTTCCCCAATCCCATGCCACCTTGTCCACATCTGTCTCTCTAATTCTGTTCCTAAAAATGAGTTGAGTTCTAGGACTTTGAGCATATTGACTTCTTCTAAAGGAGACAGCATTCCTTTTACCTGCAAAATGCCATGAAATGTGGGGTAACGGGTTTGTAATTGTGTAATCGATACTTACACTGTAATTCTGACAAGAACATTTACTTGATCTAGAATTCAATAAGGAACAAAAGTAATTTGTCTTATTTAAAGTTTCCTACTGTTTCTTTTTTTTTTTCCTAAGTTTAGGGAACTGCGTGCTCTGAGGATACAAATCAGCCATAAAATCAATATAATTTTCTTCCTGGAAATTGGAGTAATGAAAATAAAATTTCACTGTGCAGTACAGAGGACAGATTTTAAATTTGTTTTTTTCTTCTAGTAATATAGAATCAAGGAGTAGTTTGGGTTGGAAGGGACCTTAAAGATCACCTACTTACAACCCCTCGGCCATGGGTAGGGCCCCCTCCCACCAGACCAGGTTGCTCAAAGCCCCATCCAGCCTGGCCTTGGACACTTCCAGGGAGAGAGCATCCTCAACTTCCCTGGGCAACCTGTTCCAGTACCTTATAGTACACCCTTATAGTAAAGAAATTCTTCCTAATACCTAATTTAAGTTTCCCCTTTTTCAGTTTGAAATCATTAACCCTTGTCCTATCCCTACACTCCCTGATAAAGAGTCCGTCCCCAGCATTCCTGTAGCCCCCCCTTTAAGTACTGGGAGGCCTCTATAAGGTCTGTTCGGAGCCTTCTCTTCTCCAGGCTGAAGAGCCCCA